TTGAATCCAAAGAAACTTATTGAAGTGAAATTTTCTCATCTTTCACGGAAAATGACAATGCAAAGAACGCTGAAGCTATATAAACTTCCGGATGTATGTTTTATTTGAAGTGAATTGTAAACTTTCTTTCTCTTTATACAAGTAAATAATAATAATAACATACAAGTTGTTAGGTTACAATTTCCATTTAAGCAAATTAATTCCTTCTTTCATTAACACTTGAAAGAATAATCAAAATTAGAAACTGATCATCGATCAGAGATTAGTGCTAAATGAATTACCATTAATATCCGGAAAATATTAATATCGAGTTGTTATATCATACTGTTTCAGCATCCCAAAACGGCAAACTTGGTACCGATGAAGAAATGTCATATTGATGGTGCTTATGGTTTACTACAATGTTATCTGAAGAAATTTGACTTATCTCCTCAATTTACTCGAGCTGATTTCGAGCATTTTTTTATGCCGCGTGAGGATGTTATCTACAGTTATGTTGCTTTGGTTTGTTTTTTTATATAAACTTGGACGTTGTTCAGAATTTATTTAAGTTATAGTACAACTTTTTTGCATTATTCATTTCATATAAGCTTTTTGAATCACTAAATAAATGAATGTGTATTTAGAGTTAAAAATTTGAAAATGAAATCCGAATTTGTATGGAAGAATAGATTGTTAGTCTATGTATTAAAATTTTTTAGAATGAAGAAGATAGCAAAGTAAGCGATTTAATTAGCTTCTACTCATTGCCTTCATCAGTTATGCATCATCCACAGTATAAATCAATTCGTGCAGCATATTCATTCTATAATGTCGCCACTTCAGTAACTCTTAAACAACTGATCAATGATGCTCTTATTCTTGCGCGAAATGTACGGCTGTTATTGAATCATTGATTGATATTAATTTAAATCTAAAATTCAGTCACAAGTTGAAGAATATTTGATTGCTCATTTTTTTTTTTTTTTTTTAATCCATTGCTTTTGTACAAAAGAGGAAAAAATTATTTTTTAGGAAAGGTTTTGACATTAAACTTATTAAATATATAATCATTTTAGTAGGCGTAAGCAGCAAAACACTTACTGCGATAAGATTTGGATTTTATTAATTAACCAATTAATCTGATTATAAATTGAATATACGAAAGCAATTTTCTGTATTTTATAGTGTGGTTTTGATGTGTTTAACGCACTTGATCTCATGGATAACAAAGAAATATTGGAAGATCTCAAGTTTGGTATTGGTGATGGAAATTTACAATATTATCTGTATAACTGGAAGTGTCCTGATATCATACCGGAGAAGATTGGTCTCGTGCTACAATAGGTTTACTCTATGTTGATGCTATAGCTGCTAAGACTATTTCTAATTATTTTTTTTTTATTTATGAACATTTATACATTCTGTTGGAGAACGATGTTTTCTAGATTAATCGTTTGATTAGGACTAGAGGTAGATATTATCTGAAATAAACATGGATAGTTTCCTTTTTCTACATTCGGAAATGTTCTTGTTTTTAATAGCAGAAAGTGAGTCAGTAATTTCAGTAATCTCACATTATTTGGGATCAAAATGAATGTAATTTATGAATTGAAATTCAATGAATTAGAAATTCTGAACAAAACAAAAGAGTATTCATATGTTGAATTGTCCTTTCTCAGCCTTCCAGGCTATCTACATTTAGCATTCTATTGCTTTAAATTGGATTCAGGGCAGCAGCTATTACTCCTTCAGGTTTATTAATATTATCTTTCATCATTAAAATCATCAAGTTTTTAATCTAAACATGCTTCTCGAACATTCTATCTTCAAAATATAAATCGTACTATTTATTATTTAATCAGACAAATAACATTATATTGTTTTATTTGTTTATTATTGAAAGAATCGGCTATCTTTTCACTTGTATTTTAATGTATCTTCGCATCACAGTCAAAAACATAAACTTTAAACGACTTTTTTGCTTTGCTTATTTTAAATGTATTGGTTTTTCTTTTTACCGGGACATTTAGCTTTAGTAACATATGAATTTAAATTTTGGATTTTTGAAGATGGATGTATATTTTGTTTTTTGATACGGGTGCTGCTTGATACTTTTTCATTCCTACTCTGTTCATATGCAGTTTATGATTCATCATTTTAAAATTTGTTCCTTCGTTGCTCATCATATCTGAATGATAATCTAGGAATGAAATATCATTACTTCTCTGTTACCTTCTATTAGCTTAATGTTAAAACTCCAATTGGAAGCAGTTGGAAACTTAAAAAAAAAAAAAAAAAAATCAAGCTGTTTAATTAAATATTTTTTGAGAAATATTGTTTCTGAATAAATCTTATCAATTTCAAATAATAATTTATTGTTATATGAGAGAGGATGATTAGATAAAGAGTAGTTCTTCCTTTTTTTTTTTTTGAGAAATTTTAACATCTAAAATTCATAGAAGAATTGTTATGACTACTCTTTTCATATGTACTATTTTGTAGGAGTTCCAAAAACTTTTAAAATGTATGATTGAAGTTAATGCTTTCATTACTTCGAACACGGGATCAGTACTACTACTGTGCTAAGTCAGTGTGTCTTTTGTGATAAATTAATTGACTGATTGTATCATTGACTTTGTCATTTATTGTTGCTGTCTGTGTTACTGTTGTTAATAAAATAAAATAAAAAAAAAAAATTCAATTAAAGAATTGTTGCACTTAATCGTTTCATAATATTTCCATCCATCAATCTTCAATAATAAATTTTTATTGAAGATTGATGGATGGAAATATAATAATAATAAATTTTTTTTTTTAAAAAAAAAGAAAAAAAAAGTTGAACCTAACAAATTTGCTACTTAATCGATACATATAGTTGATTGAAATTTTATCAATAATAACTTTTTCAAAATTTCTTAAATTACAAATTTCATCATTTTTACATTTTTTATTTAACAACAATATTATAATGAGTTTGATAGAAAAACAGAAAGAGAGAGAGAGAGAGAGAGAGAAAGAAAAAAAAGAATAAATTTGAAAAATAAAAGAATGTTTTCCTCTTTGGTCTATTTTTTGCATTCCTCGAATGATTTCATTTCTGGTGGTCACCTTTTTTTTTTTTTTGTTGTTGACATATATGATTATCGCGGCTAAAATTTGCTGTAATTAAAAAAAAACAGGAAATGAATTTTCCGATAAAAATTGAGATGGAAACACTTGTCAATTTTTATGCTATGTCATAATTCATCACCGTTTCTCTGTCATCATTTCATTATGACAATTCCTTCGACAAATCTCACAATATTTCACAGTTAACTATTAAAAAAATTTTTTTTTCCTCCTTTTGCTAGAGTTAAAAAACTTGCCTCATTGTTGTCTTATAGTCTTGGCTCTTTGTTCTTTTGCTTCTTGTCTTGTAAATTTAATTGCTGTTAAAATTGGCAGTGAACGTATCTGTCTTGATGAAATTGCTATATTATTTGGAATATTATGAACAATCTGAACGATCATTGGCCGAGGTGATGGTTTAATTTTGGAAAGTGAAAAATTTGATAATTCTTGATTAAGCGGTACTTTCCATTTTGAAATTTCAGTTTGTGTTTTTGATTGCTTATTTTTACTAGTAGATTGAGAAAAAGTTTTATGTTTTTGCATTTTCTGCATCATTTTTTGAGCTAATTCATTTGCGCTTCTATCATTTGTTCCAGTTTGAGAATTTGAAATTGAAGTTGAAAAATTCATCGACGATATTTGTTGTCTTACCGGAGAAGTTGACCTTGTTGATGATTCACTTTCCTTGAAAATACTATTTCGCTATATTTTCTTAATAGACTAATAAATATTTTTCTTTTAATTTTTGCATCTATCTGTACTATATGCTATGTAAAGCTTAAATTTCCAATTAATTTAAAAAAAAAAAAAATTGATTAATTTATTTTTGTATTTTAAAAATGCGATAGATAAAAGGAATTGAACAAATAAAATAAAATAATAATAATAATAATAATAATGAATGATAACAAATCAGAGGATAATAATTTTTTAAATCTAAGATGAAATTATATACAAAGAATGTTGGCGTTATCTTTTGAAGTTTACCTTTGCTCTTTTTTCGGGCGCTCTTTTCTTTCTACTCCATTTTTCAAAATACCATTTTAATGTGTTCCGCAATGAACAATCAAATTTTTGATCTGTTTCAGTTCTTTTCATAGATGTTATTGTTGTTGGGCTTGAATGTTCAGTAAAATTTGAATGATTTCTCGAATTTATTTGCTGAAATCAAATTTTTGAAATTTTTCCGACCAATTTGCTATTTCTTGATCTCGAGATTGAACTATAGCATCAGCACTATTACATAATTAAAATTAAGATTTAAAAATTATATGATTAGTTCATCTTTCACTAAATCTGCCATTCATCTTTTAAATGCCTAGCATTATTTTTATTAAATTTAATTAAAAAATTTAAAATTGTTTGAAACAATTTTTGTTTTTCTGTTTTTTTACTAATTTTTGCATTTTAATATTGCTAACAGCTGATGAAGAAGAAAACAAAAAGAAATGAAATAAAATTAATTGTAAAACTGAAATACATTTAAATAATTTTTGAAGAATAAACTTGCATTATTATATTTATTTTTTACATAAATATAATCCTATCATATCAGTTAATATATTTGATAAGATTTATAAGAAATATTTCAGTTATTTTTTCTAAATATTATTATTTTAATTATTTATTATTATAAATATTAAATTATGATTACTTTGTTTAAATATTATTGATTTCTTACTTACATTATCTTATACTTATCACATACTTACCTACATTATGGTTATATTACTTATATTATCTATACTTATATTAATTTCTTACTTACATTATCTTATACCTATCGAGAACTTACCTACACTATACTTACATTACTTATATTATTAAGTACTACTATGTATATTATTACGTTACATCTCGTACTTACATTACTTACAATCTTATACTTACATTAACCTTAGGAAGTATCACTTTAGTTGTATTTGCTTCTTTAATTTCAAAAAATTTACCCATTGTTTAATTTTTCTTTGAGGCGATTGTTCATAAGATTCAATTTCTTCTGCAATCTATCATTGCTTAATTTCTTTAAGTAACACTAAAGTTTTCTTAAAATAACTTTTTTTTCTTAAAGTTAAAAAAAATAAATAACTTTCAATTTCTATTCACAGTAAAGAATTTGCAATCCTTAGCTTTAGTCTTTTTTTTTTGCTTTTTTTTTAAAAAAAATTATTAATTTAATTTATAATAATAATAAATCTAAATTTTTAACATTTTTCAGTATTAACTGTTTTGCATATATATAATTTATGTTTCTATTTTATTTCTTTCTTATTTTCTTCATCTTTACCTGTATATACCTAACTTTTCTTTCATTCAATTAATTTCGATGATTCATACAGCAAAAAAATAAATAAATAAATAAATAAAAATGAAAGCAAACTTTCATATTGTGCTAATATTATGCAAAATATCAAATAAACAATAAGAGTATATGCTGTGATAGCAACAATAACAGTAAAATATACAAATTTATGTGTTGCATAAATTTGAAAACTTCCTGAAAAAAGAAAAAAAATTTTGCAATTTTGATAATATTTTAAATTTATTGCATTTTTAAATTTTTTTCGTTTTTGCATAGATAAAAAGTTTACTCATAGGTTTATAGTGAAATACTTTATCATCGTTTGATTTGACAAATTCATTCAATCTATTTTGTGAGCAATTTTGAATGATAACTTTGATATGATAATTTTTAGCTATAAATGCTTGTTGCACCATACAATACCATCCAATCTAAAATGAATTTATTTAATTAAATTTCGTTTTTTTTTTTTTAATAACTGACAAGGTATTTATGAATTGAAATATCAAAATAAACAAAATAAGTGATAAAAAAAAAATTGATAAATGATTTTAATGAGTTTTATTGATTGATAAGATCATACATAGAAGAAATTTTATGGCATTTGTTGATAAGATCATACATAAGTATTCGGATTTGTGGCGCTAACAATAAGCGCATTTGGCATAGATGATAAGCTTAATTGAGCATTTAAGAAGCATTTACTAATTCGTCCTAAACATTCCCAATCACTGCTCTATAAAGGAAGTAAATTATTTTTAATTTTGTTATTTTTTTCTTTTAATATGATATTTGAAGAGTTTTTCTAATAAAATTATTTTTTTTTCTCTCAATCATATCTTTTCAGTTTGTGATAAAAATTCTTACATAATTTTGATTATAGATACAATCAATTAGATTCTTGTCATTTTTTGACAAAAAAAAAAAAATAATTAATTTATAGAATGCATCTTTTAAATCAGATAAGAATCGTTTTCAAAGAGAAAAAAAAAAGGAATTTCGAATGATTGCTTAATTTAAATTTAAATTTAAATTGAAGAAAGTTATATTACAGTGGAAATATGCAAATGAATTGTTGTTGATGAAGTAAAATTGATCATTTTAATACTTCCGATGCATTGACTTACAATTGATGTACACATTCCGTCATACTAAAATTAATTATTATCTTTTAAATTTTTTTTATAGTAAAAAAAATTTTAAAGTTTTTAAAAAATTCATAAACATTTAGATTTATAAACATAGTGGTATGGTTTATGCTTAATGAGCTTGCAAGTACTTATAATTTTGTTATTAAAAGTTTTTTTCGTTAATATTTTAATAAAATTGACAGATAAATGGATGTTTTAATTTTAGTATTTCAGTATTTTAGTATTTCCATTTTAGTATTGCAGTAAATACGAAAGCATTCGCTAAATGTAAAAAAAAAAAGCAGCAAAAAAATCATAAAAGATAGCTTTCTATTCAATATTGAATGATTAAAGCAAATAAAATTGACAGATAAAATTTACAGAATTTCTGATTGTTTACAAAATTTCTGCCATTCACATTTTAATTCATTAGCATTTCAAAATATGCACCTGATGCTTTGAAAAGTTTATTGGAATATCAAATTGCCAATTGTGAAAATCGCTAAGAATGCCAAAGTTCTGTTTGATTATATTTATAAGAATAAATATTGTTATGGTTACCGACCGCATCGCAAATTTCAAAATTCCATTAAATGAAATTACTGATTTCATTTATATTCCTTATATATTAGTTTTTCTTTTTTTTTTTTTTTAAGTTTAATTTGCGTATTTTAGAATGATTATGCCAATAGGTTGTAAAATATGCAAAAAGCTCATTTATTTTTATTATTATTATTATTATTATTATGATTATTTATCATTTTATTTATTTGTTATTATTATTTATTATTAATATTTGTTTATCACTATTTTATCTTTATTTATTTACTTGTTGTTTATTTATTATTATTATCATCATATTTATTAATATTTATTTACTGCCATTATATATATATATATATATATTTATTTATTTATTTATTATTATTATTTATTTATTTACTATTATTATGTATTATTATTTATTTACTTATTGTTCATTCATTTATTTATTATTTATTATTACTATCATCATTATTATTATTTATTTACTTATTTACTATTATTGTGTATTATTACTTGTTTATTTACTGTCATTATTAAATATTATTATTATTATTATTATTATTATTATTATTATTATTATTATTAACGTGCTGTCTACTTTTCATAAATTCTTTATTCTTCCTAAAAAATGTCACCATTGAATGACATCAACTTGAATTCTTCATTATTTCATTTCCCTTATTCTATTATTATTTGACATACTTAAATGATATATTCGAATTGCATCATCACTTTGCTTTATCTCACATTTCACATTCAACAATAATTTCAAAATTTGCATTAATTAAAATTCTAATTATAATAGAATTGCATTTTTTTTCATAGTCAAACATTAGCTATTAGAGATGTTAGATTGCTTAAGTAGTACTTAAGAATGATACAATTTTTCAGATACAAATTGCGCTCCATAAAAATTAATAGATTTCATAGTTTATAATTTTGTTTATAATATATCATTTATAAGAGTAGTATTTAGCAGATAATTATGCTAAAATTCATTGATTATTTTTTCAAAGTCTCATTTTTGTCTAAAAATTTTTTCTTTCAAAATTCTTCATTTAATCAAACTTTTTGAACTGTAATAGAATACGAATAAAGATAACTATGATAGCTTGAAAAGTTGAGAAGCAAACGAGTATATCTAAAATAAAGAAGTGAAAAATAAGAAAATTATAGTTTACCCATCGGTTATTTCCTGGTAAGTTACCCATGAAAAAAAAAAAATGGTAAATTTGTAATTGGTAGCGCTAATTGAAGAATTCATTAATTAGCATTTTTTTTGCGCTGTTGGTGCAAAATTTAACTCTAAATTTAAATCTTCCACCCAATTTCGTTATTATAATGCTTGCATTGTAAAGAGTCAAAGGTCAAGCATAAATGATGAAAAATTCAATTTAAAAAAAATTTACTGCTTAACAGCAATTATCATTTTGAAGATAAATCTGTTGAGATAAATTAAAGGGAAATGAAGAAGGTAAGAAGGTACAAACAAAGATTCCGGTTGATAAGATGAAATGAAATAAGGGAGAATGATTCCGGAAATATCAGAATGATTCCGGAAATATTTGTTGCCAAACATTTTGATAAACTAAAATTATTAGCTTAATTGCCTTTGTCAATTATTTGTTTTTCTTTTGACGATGCACAATTTGAAATTTTTATTCAAACATTGTTGGCATAGTATAAATGATATCTTCTTGATTTTTATTAAATTATAATAAATTACAAAATAAAAAAAAAAAAAAAAAAAAAAAAAACGGAATAACCGAATATGAAACTGATTTTAACAAAAAATAGAATAAAATAGGAAAACAAAATGTTCATTCAATGTTGAAATGAATTGAAAATGATCAAATGAATTTAAATGCATTCATATCATATGGCAATAATTTTTTCATAATTTATCCGATAACGGAAAATATCAAATTTCAAATCTACAAGTTAAATTTTAAATTAATAAAAAAAATTTGACAAAAATTCAAAAAAAAAAATTCTTTCTTTCAATAAAAGTTTAATTTTATTAATCTCAATTCTAAAATGAAATTACAAAGAAAGAAGAAAGATATATTTTTATTTATTCTTTTTTACTTTTCAAATTTCATTCCAGTCAGAATAATTCTGATAAATTATTCCAATTATTTTTTCAAAAGAAAAAATAATAATAATAATTTGATTACTTTACTTGCATTATAGTAAAATCCATCTATTATTCTCTACTATTTCCTCTATTAGTTATTAAATTCTTTTAGCAATTGCAGATTAAAAGGAACTGATAAAATTTGTAGAGTGATTTCCTGAAATAATTATTCGATTATTCCGTTTTATTCAGTTGTACTTGGAAAATTGAATTTTTTTAAAAAAAAAAATTAAAGAATTGAAACTAATCTTTAATGATTAATAATTAAAATATAGTTTTATCTCTAACGAATGATTAAGATAATGATTAAGATGTAGTTTATCAAGATATAATTTTATCACTATAATTAATAAATAAGATATAGTTTTATCTCTATAATGAATGATTAAGATATAGTTTTATCTCCACAATTAATAATTAAGGTATGATTTTATCTCTATAATTAATATTAAGGTATAGTTTTATCTTTATAATTAATAATTAAGATATGATTTAATCTCTATAATTAATAATTAAAATATGATTTAATCTCTATGATTAATAATTAAGATATAGTTTTATCTTTATAATTAATAATTAAGATATGATTTAATCTCTATAATTAATAATTAAAATATGATTTAATCTCTATAATTAATAATTAAGATATAGTTTTATTTCTGTGAGATTTAGGATAAAACAAAATAGCAATAATACATTGGTCAAATTCCTTTATCAGTTACTGATCAAAAGAAACTGATCAAATTTTCCGATAATTCTAGCAAATGAATGATAGACGTTAGGATGAAATGAACAATTGCATACGTTTTAAAGCTAACAAAATTTTTAAAATTTTTATTCTACCCAAAAGACATACCCAAAAGCAATTAATGATAACTATAATTTGGGCAAAATTAAAATTAATTTCATTTTTGATATTTTTGCCCTAATTTTTTTAGGTGTATAAGTTAAATCATTAAATTATCTTATCATTATTAAATTAGATGCTTTATAATGCAAGCTAAAATCAAAGATATACCCATTAGTTATATCTTGATTTACCTGCCCATTTCTGGCAAAAGGGTATAGTACGATATTACTAGCATCTACCTACCCAATCTTTCAGTTGATATCAGATAATATAAATGGTTTTTCTTCAAATAAAGGATTAATTTATGAATGAAAATTTCAATAACTGAAAAAAATGAATGGAGGGTAAGAAATAATCATTTGCCCGCTTATTGGGAATATATCAATTTGAGGACAATAATGCATTTCAGCAACAGTTCATTTCTTTTCTCATCGATATGATGGGAAAAAGTACTTAAAGAGTTGAATAATTGCTACTGATCCGTTTTACTTTTATATTTTCCTGTTCGTTCATCCGGAAAAAAACAGTTTTCTGTTTTTTCCCTCTTCTATATGAGAACGGAAACCGGATTGTTAAATTGAGAGGTGGAAAAAAGAAAAAAAAAAGGTTTGAATGAAATAAAGGAATAAGGGTAAATTATAAGAAATTGAATTGCACTTTAATGTTTATATAATGAAATAGAAAGAGGGAGGTAAATAGATAGATAGAGAGAGAGAGAGGGAAGGAGAGAAGCAGAGAGAGGGAGAGAGAGAGAGGGAGAGAGAAGACAAGGAAATATTCTTAAGGTTGGATAGATCTCTACTTGTCGAGTAGTTATTTATTTTTTTTGCTAACAACGATCGCACTTTTTCAAACTATTTATTGTTCAATTTTTATCACATTAATAAATTATTCAGGTAAAATATTCAAAAAGCATTTTTGAAAAATATTCAAATATTTATTTCATCTTTTAACAATAAAATTACGATTTGAATGATGTTGAGATTGTGTGAAGGTTAATATTTCTGGTTTGACCTTGATTTTGAAGAGTGATTGACTGAATTGACCTTTTACTTTAGCACTTTTATTCCCGCATTTTCTTCATCATTATTACTTTCATTCTATTATTTATTTAAGTAATTAACATAATCAGTTTAACATTTCCATCCTATTTTTAAAATTCCATACAATTTTTTTTTAACAAATCATTTACTGAAATAATTTTTCGTATTTTTACTCTTTTCCGCTTTCCCAATAATTCTCCCATTTTTTTTTTTTTTTTTTTTTGTAATATAATAAACAATTTTATGTAAATGAACAAAATATTTAGGTATAAAAATAAATTGCAAGTAATGCAAGTAAAATTTAAGATTTAAAATAATAATAATAGTTTTATGCTATAGGAATGTAGTATATATAATTGAGAGATTATGAATATGAAATGATTGCAGATTGCAAGAATTTTAAAAGCTTTGCAAAAAAAAAAAAATAAATAAATAAATAAATAGCTAAAAGAGTAATATAATTGCATCGGTCACTTATTTTTAGGAAAAATAAATCAATTGATGGCATACACAAATATTTTTTTTCCAAAAAAAAAAAGAAATTTCTCTCAAAAATTTACATACTATCAGTGGGTAATAAAAAAAATAATAAACAAAAGCAAAAACAAAAAAAAAAAAACGAAAGTTTTTCTCAATTTTTTTTTTTTTTTATTTTAATTTGTAGTATATATGAAATGAAATGAGAATGAATGGGCAATTGTTAACAAATTCGCGGGATTTATCTATATCTCCATCATATGTATATATATTGCCCGCTTTTACTTTCAGGTAAATTCATCATATAATGCCCGCTATTGCTTTCGGGTAAATTAATATTAATTGACTGATCAAATGTTTGCTCCGTTGCTATTTGCTATTGCTATTCTTTTACGCTATTTAGCTTTTCTTGTATTTCTTCTTTTTTTTTTTCTTTTTGCATTTTTAAATTTTTAAATAGTATTTTTAAATTTACAAATACTATTTTTTTTTTTTTTTTAGAAATATTGTTTTATAT